TAGTACTTAAAGTTGACAAAAGGCTAGGAAGTGTTTGTTGTTTTTCTTTTTTAAATCCTGTAGTGTACTTTTAGCGCAGCTGTTACTCTGGCACTCTTATTAAAATGCAACCTGATATAGCATAATTGCAAAATGCATACAGCCAAGATGATATGTAATGATAAAATGGAAGGTGTGGGGGAAGGGGAGAGAGGATAAAATAATGAATGCTAAGAGAATTAATGAAAGGAGGACTGAAAAAAGGAACTATGTTAAAACACCAGCATACATCCAGATTTTGTGGCATGAACAACTCTCCAGTTTTCTTGACCTGTGTATAGGAGGGGACCAGCTTACAAGGTGAGTGACCTCTGGCTTCTTATTGGTCAAAAGGCGTACCCTCTTGATGGTGGGAGGCTGGAAAATAAGCAGTCAATTACTTTCCACTTCTGCTGTGATATAAAATATACCTGGAAACAGGTTAGCTAGGTTAATTTAAGGCCAATTCAAGAGTTTTGACTTTTTTATTATTATTGAAGATTCATTTCTATAGTATCTGAACTCTCTTTTGTCTTCTTATTTTCTGAACCTCAGTAGTGGTATTTTAACCTCTTAAAAGAAGCTTTAGTCTGCTTCTCAATTTTTCCTGTGAATTGAGTGAGTGCTGTGTCAGAGTCAACAAGTGAAAGACAGAAAATGGCTAGTTTGAGATAAGAAAGGGTGAGGGGGTAACAGTAGTAATCCAGAGTAACATTGTAAGCAAAAAAGGACTGTGATTTCTTTTGGTTACATTGTTCTTTTTCTGGTTTCCTCTCTTAGTGGAGGTTCTCCATTTGATTTTCAATACTGGAAGATGTGATTATGCAGACTGGCTTGTTTCCTTCTTGGCTCCTCATTAATTAAGCATGTAATTTGAAAGTGCTTGAATAACGTTTGTGTATTGCCACTAGTCAATTCTGCTTAATAAGGTAGTAGGCACTAGAAAAAGAAGACAGTTTTCCAGATGGATAGACTCAAAGAAGGTAAAGCTGCCTGGAGTCTGCAAGAAAGTTGAAGACAAGGTGACTTGGAGGCCTCACATTCACAGCGTTGGCATATGTAAAAGCTGATTTTAGACTTTATCACATGAGGGAGGCAAACCAGCTTTGCAGCAGAATCATCACTATTGAGGAAAACCCCTCAATAGCTGCCAATCCTGCAACATTCCCATGACCTACCTTGTACAATCTGTGATGGTATGCTGGTATGTATCTTCTATCACATGATTAACATGGAATAATAGCTTCATGCAATAAAGTCCTTGAGTAACAACAACAATACTAGTAAAACAGAAATCCAGATTTTTAAACTCACCATCACCACTAACAACAACAACACCACCTCCTCCCTTCACACATGGAATAATGTGTGTGCAAATTTGACTATAAAACTATATATGTCTTTCTTTATATCTCTTAGCCTGAATTCATATCCATTGACTCCGTCTAATATTTTCTAGGCATTTTCTTCTACTGCTAAAGAGATTGTTAAATCAAACATGCGCTACTCAGATACTATATTAAATTGCAAAGCACTGTGGAACCAACTGTGGCTGGCCTAATGCTGCTCCAGTGTGCCATTCCTTTTCAGTTCCAGTTTGGTTCACTGACTCAAATTACATTTAAAGCATCAGTTTTGGCATCCCTATATAATGATGTACTTAATTTTGATAGAGCAACCCTTTCATTTTACCAATAAAATCTGTTGTTTTTTTCTTAAAGAAATGCAATTTCAAACTTCCAAGTGGACCTAAGGCAGTGGCATGACATTTGGCTAGACCCAGAGACCACAATCCAGCAACTCCAACTAAATCTTATCATAAGAACTAGAGAGTGTTTATCACTCTATCACTATGAGATTAATGTAATATGTTTAAATATAGACAGCTTTTCCTGTTATTAATGACAGTAGAACTTTTCCAATATGATTTAGAATGTGTTTGAGGTCTGCAAAAGACATAATAGCTCACTCAACATTTGTTCTCAAGTTTTGCTCAACCCAATTATGTTTTTCATCAAGGACATATGAAAACCCAGGGCCCCTCCACACAGCCATATAACCCAGAATATCAAGTCAGCTAATTCACAATATCTGTTTTGAACTGGTTTATCTGAATCCACACTGCTATATAATCCAGTTCAATGTGGATTTTATACAGCTGTGTGGAAGGGGTCCAAGTGACCTTCCTGACATTTTCTAGGGACCCTGATTCTTCACCTCATTCCAACAATTATTGATAGGAGGGGAGAGGACTCTAAATGGCGCATGTCTCCATTATGCTCTAGATCGGTGGTTTTCAACCTGTGAGTCCCCAGGTGTTTTGGCCTTCAACTCCCAGAAATCCTAACAGCTGGTAAACTGGCTGGGATTTCTGGGAGCTGTAGATCCAAACAGCTGGGGACCCACAGGTTGAGAACCACTGCTCTAAATTGTATTGCTGCAATGTGCATGGCATTATTTGGGGCTTAATGCTGCTTTCTGGTCAATTTCTCAGGAAGATGAGAGAGTGACGGAACAGAAGAGAATCAGCAGCATGATTGTGGGGCAAAAAAAAAAATCTACCTTAAACTTCACATTTGAAGGACTGTGTGACAAACTCAGCCATAGAGACAGGAGACTGAAATATGCATGTAGATGTGTGTATGTATCCGTGAATGTGTTGGCCTCTCTGGATGAGAATGTTATCCTATAGAAAGCAGAGAGGAGTTTATTAGGAAATATGGAAAGTGGAATTATAGGTATAGTAGATTGAATTTGTGTTAGTCTGTTGGATTCTTTGTCTTTATGGGTGAGAATGGTATCCTAAAGAAAACAAAGAGTTGATTGTTAGGAAATAGAGAAAATGGGATTATCTGAGCATGCAGGAAAGATAATAGGAAATAAGTTCCAAAAATGGATGAGAAAGGGAAGCAAAAGAACCAGGAAGAGAAGGGAAGGAAGCTATAAAAGATGGAGGCTTAATTGGGGTGTATAAATTCCCAAACGCTGGACAAATGTTGGAATGTGGCTTTAGGTAATTAAAACCCAAAATCAAAAAGCTGTAATAAGCTGGAACTTTCTTTTGAAAGAACTTTAGCACCCACCAAACCTAAAAGCAATGTAAAGCCTTTGGCTTCCTTGAGGTATCTTTAGGCAATAATGTTCCGGATTCGCACTCAGGCCTGTGCACTGAGGTAACACTGAAAGGATTTCTTCTTTTAAAATATACACTGCCACCATTAAACCTTTGACTTCTTCAGTAAATTGCTTTTTAAACTTCTTGTACAGAGGTACACGTGAGGTAGATGTTGTGAACAATAAAACAATGATGTTTATTTAAGAGAACTGGAACCAAATTGGCCATAAGCTTAGTTTGTTTGAAAGATTGTCTTAAAAGTGTGTGGTTTCTTTGAGCAGTTCAGACTTAGTTACAAATAAAACTCCTTTCTCCCTCCAGAGATCACTGACAGGATTGCTTCTCTGAAAGTAACTTTAAACTCCTCCACACAGACAGTCCTTTACTCTTGGGATCTGTCTCTCCACTCCCCTACTATCTTCCCTAATAGTTTTAATCTTCCCACTACCTATCTCTGCTAGCTAACTGACCACTTTAGGCCTCTCTTACTACTCTCTTCTCTACTCCCAGCTTCTAGCCCCTTCTCCTTTGACACCCAGGTTCAATCCCTCTGACAGGGGTTTAAAACGTCCCCTTAAAGTGGTTTTTTTCCTTTTCTAAGTTAAGCTCCAGCCACTCTCTCTCAGCCAATCTCTAACTCCTCTCATTTCCCTCTAAGTACCTAAGCACGCCCCCTTCAGGAAATGAGATTTTAAAATGGATGCCCCTGGCACCCTTTCCAAAATGGCTGCCGAACTTCCTGGGCCTACATTTTTAGGCTTTTCCTTGCCTAACAGGTAGGGAATTCACTACATATTGAAATGCAAAATGACAAGGTTAAATAAATAATAATAGGTGGAATATTTGTGTATGAAAGAAAGGGAGAAAATAAGCCTCCTCCACCTCATTTGTGACCCATCCCATTGCCCCACCAAGCCTTTTGCATGTATTTAGTTAGATGAGAGATATTACCTTCTCCCTTTGGAGTAGTTTATTACTTATTTCAACAACATGAATACAGGATACTCAGTTGGAGAATTATTGCAAACATAATCCATAAATTGATACTTATAGGGTTCCAGGGTTTTTAATTAAATGAAAACCCAACTTTAGTCCTTTTAAATGTATTTTATTCTTTATTTTTTCCACTTGTCATAGAAAGAAATAAGAAATCTGCATGCAACTTCCTAAATATTTCAAACATTTAAATAGCATATGATAATTTAGCCGTACAATACTTTATGTGGAAAGAGAATATAGGGAAATCTCCTGTAGTATATTTACAATTGCAAAGGTAGTTTTTGTTATTTATATTTTAAAAGGAGAAATGCACTACTTACCGTTGAAAGTATTACATTCAAAGGAAAGAAGAAATGTGAACAAAACAAATATATCCATTTCCCATCAGAGATTTTTCCACCAGTAAAAAGGTACATTTTAATAGGCTCAAACTAAATATCTAAAGAACCATACATGATATTCCCAAAGCTTAAAACATCCCGATACTGAAGGTGCAAACCTTTAATAAGAACCTCACAAGGGGGCAGGCATGTAGCCGGGGGGGGGGGGCTCGGGGGGCTTCAGCCCCCCCGAAATTTTCATGGTGGTTCGCGAAAAGGCCTTATTGGGGCATTATTTAAACTGTTATGTTTATTCATATCATGATCTGATCACCATACTCAATATATCCCATATGCATGGGGGTATTGGGGTAATGATACAAAAGGTTTGCTAGGCTAGACCCTCTTTCACTCAGACTCAGCCCCCCCCCCGAAAATCAGCCCCCCCGAACCCCCCCCTGAAATTTTTTAGCCCCCCCCCCCCAAAACGAAATCCTGGCTACGGGCCTGCAAGGGGGGCAAGTTTCTTTGTACTAAACTGCTTTAGAAATATTTTTTCCTTACAAGCAAACACACACACACACACACAAAACAAAGAGGAAAAAAGAAAGAAAAGAAAAAAAGAGGAAAAATGCTATCATACTGTATATCACACACTGAGCAGGGATTTAAAAGTAAACAGCTTATCTTGTAACTACAGGGAAACCTTATTTTTGAAATTGTGCCATAGTGTGTATCATCCTATATAAAAAACTGTACCTTACATGCCTCTCTTCTATTGCAAAGGACACATTCAGCTACTAGAAATCTTTACAATGGCATAGAAAGTTTCCCAAAGAGGAAGCACTATTTTAGAACAGTTTTTTTTTACAAATTATAGTTCACTGAATGAGCTTATAAAGCCCAATTTCCAGTCATAGTGATATATGAACAACTAAACAATGATCTTTTAAAAAATGATAACTTTTAAATGAAGGTTATGTCTCATGATATTTCTCACTACAAAGAAGGCATGTATGAAATCTAACATGTAAAAGACACTTATGAAATCTGGCTGGTATTTTTTTTACAGCTATAAAGTGTAAAAAGTGGTCCTTGGTAAAAAGTGCTTTATAACAATATAGGTTTTGAGTCACGTCTTGCGAGAAGTCATCTTCTCCATTTTCTGCCTCTTTCTCATGTTCACCAAATCATCCTGTTTCTTCCAGTAGGCTTTGCTTGCTTATTCTTCATAAACTCTGTGAAAATTAAAAAGGAAACAAATAGGATGAACTTTCCAGACAGGCCGATTAAAATAAATAAATAACCCAAACAGCATCACAAGGACTGGAGAAGTAAATGAGAAAGGATCAATCCAGCAGCCTCTTCTGATCAGCAATTGAACTTTGGATTTTGAATTCTTTTCTTGGGTCAAGACAAGCAAAAGGATGGAATTAGCAGTCTGGTGCCGATATATATGAGAGTCTGGAGAAATTAGTCTCATATGTCAGGAACGGTCCAAATGAAATCTCGCCTGTTCCAGTTTTTTAGCTGCTTAGAAAATGTCTCAGGGCACATTTAGACAACCCTTTAATCTGAGAACCCACGTTTTAAAAATGCGAATCTTCCCGGATCCTAGTTCACACACTCCCCAGAAAGCTCATGCTTTCTGGGGCAGGTGTTCAGATGTGCTCCCGGAACTTTCCACAAGAACACCTGGGCATTCTAACCCTTTCCCCAAAACCCCCTTTAAAACACAAAATAATTACCCGGCCTCCATTAGAGGGGTTCCAGAGTTCTCCTGGCATGTAGAAATGACATGCTTGGAGAAGGAGGGGGGGGGGCAGGAGCGATTTTCCTCCTCCCCTTTCTCCTGGTGTGTCACTCCTACACACCCGGAGAGCACCGGCACCACATTAATGGAGGCTGGATAAGTTATTTTGTTTTTAAAAGGGGGGCTGGGTTTTTGGGGAGGAGATTTGTGTCCTCACAGTTTTCTGGGCTAATTTAGCCCGGAAAACCATGGGACTACAGTGGAGCAGTCCAGACATGGGACTACAGGGAGCAGTCCAGACAGTGGAAGTAGTGGGTTTATCCCGTGCCTTCCAAGAAGGCATGGAATAATCCCACCAACAATTTAATTTATGACAAACCAGGGTTTTCCTGGTTTGTGGTGAATGAATGTGTGTTTCTCTAGGGCATCATCTGGATGGCCTCCATTTTATTGCAGGATCTCTCACATTAAAGGGCTGTCTGGATGTGCCCTCTGTTTTTTTCTCCTTCTCATATTCTTCCTTGTTGTCATTGGTTTACTGGAATTGGTGCACCCATGAGTTCAAACTGAAAAAGTAGTTTGTGCTCAATGAATTTAGGAAAGGAGGGTAGGATCTTCCCTTATTCATAAACTCAAGCAAAAGAAAACTGTTGCATGCTATCCCAGTTTATGTGTTCTTCCTTTATTAATAACTTTGGACCTCCTGTTGCCTGGCTGTGTCCTTTTGACAACATCCTGATTATAATTCCTGATTATAATCCCCAGAATCCCTACACTAATACAGCCAGCACTGTGGGTCCATACAGTCATCATTCATATGTCTCTTTAAGACCATATCAAGAGTTGTGCTGGATCAAACCAAATACAAAAGTTCTGGATTTTATTCTCCTTACATTTCTAGTTTACAGTAATCTTCTGAATGCACAAACTGACACATTTTGCCCTCTGAAAAACCCTGAAATTGTTTATTTGATTTCCTAGTTTAATGAGCAGCCTTACCATGATTATTCTATGTATATAGAATGATGAGCATGGAAAGTTATGTTTTAAAAAGTAAATTGCTGCCATTGCAGAGTGTGATTTTTTAAAGAAATGATTTGTTGTTATTACTAGCTCCAAAACATATTTGCATTAATCTTCTTTTCTCAGTGGATCTTTGATACTTTTTTTTAAAAAAGCAATTTCAGATTATATCGAAAACAATATTACAACAGAAAAGTTTCAGTGACATGTCTCTAAATCTGCTTTTGAGAACTAACTTTGACAATGACTAGAAAAAAACTGCTTGTGATATGTTATTTCTAAGTTTTCATTCTATTGAAAGATAGTCCTAAGCAAATATGCATAGAATTGTGGTTTTAATTATGAACTACATGTATTTCATACATGGCTTGCAAAATTCGAGGTACTACATTCATGTAAATGAGAGCCAGCGCGCTCTAGTGGTTTGAATATTTGACTAAGGACTTTATCACACAAAGCAGGCAAATTGGCACTGCAGCTGGATTGTCATCTTTACTGACAGCCCCTATCACACATCACTGTGTGCATTCTGCCTCTGAGATTCTCACATTGGTAGCTCCCAGTCCTGAAACACTCCCATCGCCTAAGTTGGTGTAATGGGTCCCTTCTGCTTCTATGCTTGCATGCCGTCAGTAAAGTGGTATGAGGGAATAGGATTCTCCCCCTCTCCCTTCCTCCTTGTTTTTTCCAAACTGGCTGTCCTTCTTTCACTTTATATTTATTGTTTGTTTAAATGCTAGATTTCCACAATTGTGATAAGTATGGTGGTGATGATGATGATGATAATAATAATAGGACTGCATTAGTTCAGGACGATTACAAGGATTTGTGGAAGTATTACTGTTTGACCACAAAATAGCAAATTGGTGCAACTGCAGTAATGAAGAGAGACGTTCTATAAGAGGTGTTCAGTGTATTATGTATCCACTATCAATGAGTTGCCTTTGGGCTGATATGGGTGGGATGCAAATGTTGTAAATAAATAAACAAACAAATAAATGATAATGTGACTGTAATGGAATAATGCATTGGTGTGATTAAGTCCAAGACTGTGGAGACTACAGTTTGCATTCACACCCAGCCATGGAAACTCACAGGGTGATCTTGGCAAAACCCCTCTGAATAAATCTTGCCACAAAAAACCATGAAAAATTTAACTTAGGGTCTCCAGAAATGACTTGAAAATGCATAACAAAACCACAGTTTATCTGAACAAACTAGCAGAATGATAATTAGGTTCAGTATTCTTTCTGGGAAAGGAGATAGCCTTCTATAGCATTTATCTTTAAAAACCTTTAATACCTATTTTAAAAACTTGCCTCTCCTGACAAGATCCCCACTGACCTATATGGTAGCAGGATTGGGTGCCCTGAATTGCCTGTTTAGTGCTTTGTCAGTCCCTTAAGCCTGTGTTACCAGAGACTGGTTTGCATGCGAGCTGGCTCTTTGTTCATCAAAGTTCATCTGCTTCTGCTGTTCCACCCTAGGGCAGGTGTGCGGAAGTTCAATGAGCCTTGATGCTAAAGGCAAAGGGCTATTTACATAAGCCTCTATTCATCCAAGCTGCAGTGAAGCAAGGGTGCTCCTATGAGCAATATTTGGGCTATTTAGTCTGAGAAACATGCATTTACTTTGCTTTTATGCCACAAGTGTCTTCTGTGATCTCTGAGTAAGTCGTGCAATGGATTGAGGTGTGGGGGTGGGGTTAAATATTAACATTGTCTTTGGTTTGTGCACCAGTACACAAGCCCCCAGCCAGAGACACAGAAGATGGTATGTGAAATTACAGTACTGCTCTGGAACGGCTGCACCATAAGGGAAATGCAGGAGTGAAATGTCATGTTCCTGCAAGCAGGAGTTTCCAGTGACTAATAGATTATCTCCTTTGAAAATTCATTCCAGAATATTGTGTTTGCATCATCAAAATGACTGGCCACTACATCAGCAGACTAGTGTCATAGGAACTTATTGGCATGAGCAGCAAGTGAAGTGGGTTTTCTCAGTTGAGCATTAAGCACCACATTTTGAGTGTTCTTTATTGGATGTATATAGATAAATCCTTACAGACTAGGTATCCTAACCAACCTAACTTATTTTCCAAGACTGACCCCGAGAGCAGCTCTTGACTACAGCACCTGGATATGTCAGGGACAGATTCAAGCCATAGAATTAAGATAATTATAGGAGGATAAGTTAGAATGGCTGGAGCTTTCAACTGGTATACTGCCCATAAGCAGCTATTGTACCCTGTTCTCCCATATAAAAAACATTTAGGTCATTCTAATTATTTGCAGGGGTTCAGAATTTTTCCAGCTAGCCTAGTCAGTTCTCCAGTGGCCATACTGGCTGGTAGCTCCTGAGAACTATACTCCAAATAGTAATAATAATAATAAATAATAATAATAATAATAATAATAATAATAATAATAATAATAATAATTTCAAGCTTTAGTTCTTTGTGTTGATCAAAGTAATCATTCTATTTTTATTGATCTCTTCTGGTTCAAATAGCTTGGTTTTCTGAATATCGGCATATTTGACATTGGTCCAAAGGTTATATTTCTCTCTGCTCAGAAAAAATGCTAAAACAGTGACATCCTTTTGGATTCTTAAGAAGTGTGATAATTTTGCATTAATGATTGTGAGAGCCTCTTTATTAATTAGCCTGGTGATGCTGGGAAGCATTTCAAATGAAGACAGGTCTAGTTTAATAACTATTGTTTTTACTCATATGAATGAAAATTTCCACTATTCAAAAGTAAGGCAGGGCTGACATGGCAAAATAATTTCAGCTTTTTCAGTCCCTTAGCTGCCTAGACCACTTAGCTCCTTTAGTGAATCCACATGACATTTGGCTGGATTCACAATGAAACTGTTGCATTCAACTGCTAATCTGCATGAGTGGAACACAGGATTTACCCTGGATCTTCCTGAAAGCTCCAGGGTGATCCCGGTTTCAGAAATGTGGACAGGTGGATCATCCTGAATCCAATTTGACCCACTGTTCACATTGTCAATTGACCAACTGCTACATCACCGCCAGCAACAAACTCTCTCCCAGTGACTTGCTGGTAGATTTCTTTCGATGTCATATTGGGCACCAAGCCATGTGGCCAGAAATGTGACATTGCCAGCAAATCCCTGGGAGAGAGCTGCTTGCTGTTAGCAATGTGGCAGCCCTGATGTACCCTCGGGCTGCTCAGATGGGTGGACAGCCAAAAGGGAAATTCCTGGGGCTGCATTGGAGAAGGTCCAGACCCCTTTGAACCAGATTTTCTAGTAAATGGGGAAAGGGCAATGCTTTCATGTCTGTCTGGATAGCAATCCAGCTATATACAGACTGCTGCACAGTCCAGGACACTCTGGAGTTTCATCCAAGCTCTGGAGTGTCTCCCAACTTTGCCAAAATCTGGTACAGAATTCTGGTCACTGGATTTCATTGTTACCACTCAACATTTAAAAATAAAAGATGATGTCATGTTTAAACACTCCTACGAACATAAAATGAGAAAATAAAAATGTGCCTTCAGATACTGGGATAAACAACAGGGCTGGTTGTATAAGGGTTCTTTAGACATAGGTAATAATATGTGAGCAGCTTTAGATCAGCTAATGGAACTTCTGTTATGTGCGGATTTTGTTTTCAGCTAGCCACAATCATCCATCAGAGACAGAGTGACATTATAGATCTGGAAAGCCAGAAAAATTAAAAATAAAGAGTTAAGCTAAAGGCCCCAGCTATCATCACTGACAACACAGCTGGTGGTATGATACATGGTATCTGGACATTGTCTGGGCAGGCTTAAATCTGAAGAGCCTAAGGGTTTTGTTACCCTAAGGCAAATCTTTAGCATTAATTAATCTGTTAATCTGAATCTTCTGTTTTTTTCTTTGTTATAAATAGTTGCCTTTCAAAAATAAGCAAGGAAAAATGAAGTTACATAACAGTTGACATTTAGCAGTACGAATCATTCTCTTCAACTTCTAAAGGGCTGCCACAAGGAAATTGTGTGTGTGTGTGTGTGTGAGAGAGAGAGAGAGAGAGAGAGAGAGAGAGATGAATGTCAACATGACAAAAAGAGTGAAAAACAAGGCTCACTAGGAAGTAAATCTCATTGAATTTTAGAGAATGTATCTCTGAGTAAACGTTTAAAATTCAGGAACAAGCTCAATTGCTGTCCAAGAATTTAAGTTGGTGCCTTCTAAGGTAACAGAAAATGGTATGCCACCTGCATTGTCTTTCATATGGTTCTTGAAACTTATTTTATTCATTTTATATCCCTCCCTTCTGACATGCAAGGAGCTCAAAACATCATTATTACTGTGTGTCTTCAGATCTTTCCAATTTATAGTAACCCTATCATAAGTTTTTCTTGGTAAGATTTGTTCCCAGGGAGTTTGCCTTTTTCTTCCTTTGATGCCAAAGGAGAATGACTTGTCCAAGTTAACCCAGCAGATTTCCATGGCCAAGTGAGGATTCAAATCCTGGTCTCCTGAGCCATATTCCAATGCTCAACCCACACTTCCTCTCTTAGAACATCATATGTAAGACTTAATCCCATTTTGTTTTCCCCAACCCATGAGCTTGAGTATGCAGAAAGAGTATGGTTCAAGATTATCAAGCAAATTTCAGGTTGAAAGCAGAATTTGTAAAAGCTACTAACAGTGGGTATCCTGGCTGGGTTGTTCAGTGCAACAGTCAAATGCAGGCTGCTGTCTTCATTCAAGCAGTGTATATCAGCAGCTGTACATTCACAGTGCAAGTCAAGGGAACGACCTCAGGATATTCACGCACAGGGAAGGTCATAAGGATCTTCACTCACGGAATACAAGAATTTGGGAGGAATGGCAAAAATAATTTCAGTACAGAAATTCATTTTCTCTTACCCCATTTCATCAAATTCGTCTTAAACTTGTTGTTGGATTTTATTGTTTAGTATTGAAAACCTTGAACTGAATTGAATGTATGAGTATCTTTGATCCGTTGATTCCAAAACATACTCAAAGTTTTAAACAGAACCTCCTTTGGTAGAAATACATTGGGCCATAGTCACTTGAAATGTTATGTTTCTTTTTCTTCCTTTTTAAAAACCTGATTTTTGACTTGGTAGCACAGCATTATTTCTTTCAAGGTAGATTGAAATCACAGAATAAAAGTGAGGAACACCAACATGTTTGTCACTGTAATTTCAGGTCAAGCATTCAAGATGCATCATCATTGTCTAAAAGCACACATTTGATTGCAATTATCCCTTGCGGGGTCTGATTAATACGCACCTCTCTTTCTCTTTCCATATTGTGTACCACTTAAGTAATCTTTTTGTACTTGGGAGTTTAGGATGCAAGCAGTACTGATGTCCACCTCGGAACCTTGATTTCATTGTGACTCTGAAATGAAAGACAAGTGGTCAGTTTAGACTAGCTGTTCTAATTTTAACAAACTTTTAAACACCATAATAGCTTGGTCTTTACAGATGTTTGGTATCAATGATCTCAGATATACTTCCTTCTCCTTGTGTTATAGTGTTGTGGTTTTGACCACTCATAAACTGGTTGTCTGAGCTGTGTGTGATGTCATGAAATTTTTATGAATAGTACAGTGTTTGAGAAGTTGCAGTCATGTTTGGAGTCCCAAAAATGTTTAACAAATTGTTTTTTAGTGTTATTAGCCCGGACACCATCAAAGAGATGTAGGTGGGACCATAGATGGGAGGCTTCACAGGAGGGAGGAAAGTCCTCTTTGTTTGGAAAAGTTACTTACCATGCTGGGTTCAGTACACATGGACTGCCACAACTGCAAATGTCCCATAGACCTGCCTTCAGAACCAGTAACCATACTGAATGATGGAGGTGTGGTATGCTGAGAGCAGAACAACATTTCAGCCCCCTCTCAACAGACATTTTTGGTGAAAATTATCAGAAGCAGGGCCACTTCATCTGTTATGTAGGATCTCACCAGTGTGCTATTTTATGCTTTTAGTGCATTCTTGATGGATTCAGGTAGCTGTGTGTAAAAAGGTCAGAAACTGTCAGGGCTAGAAATGGGAAGACTCTCATCTGGATCCTGAAGTTCTATGTAGACAGGCTATTAAAGATGCTGGTCAAAGATTTTTGGTCTTGTCATGTTCTTACAGGCTCTTGAGCCACTCTGTCCCAACAGAAAGCCCTTTAGCTTCACTTGACTTATTAAAATGATGTGCGTTTCCATGTCATACTTGGCCTTTGCCAAGTTGGAAAACCATCAGTCTTGATTGAATCTGTGCCAGGAGTCAATGGTTTGTCCTGTAAGGACTTGTTCTCCTTCCAGCTTTCCTGTCTGCCTGTCCTGCTCATTCTCACACCAAGCCTTTCCTTAAGCTTTAGCTTTCTTTCCTTTCTGTGGTACAGCATCCTCACAGTGCCTTACATTGAACAGATATATAATTATACTAGATCACTTTTTTCAGAATTTATTAGTAACAGGTTTTCTACACCATATATCTATATTCCAGCTGTACTCCTTAAAATTCCTTACCTGGGATGGAATGTAAAACATCTTAATGGCAGAGCAATTCACATTACCTGCAAGCAATGGCCGCTTCATGACAGAACACATGGTTTAAAATAGGTGTACTCTGAGGCAACTTTATAAAATTCCCTCCATTCTATAATTATACCGATTTAAATTATTTTTAGGCTAGTTGTGTGTGTTTTTAACCATCAAACGTTAAATCTACCATATGTTACCAAATGTGATTCTTTTTTGAATAAAAGCTCCAGCCTAAATGAAAACCATATTGCTATCTGAGGGCCCTTCCACACAGTCCTATATCCTGGAATATCAAGGCAGAAAATCCCACAATATCTGCTTTGAACTCAGATAATGTGGGATTCTTTGGCTTCATATTCTGGGATATAGGACTGTGTGGAAGGGCCCTCAGACTTGGAATTTATTCACAAAATTTGAAGGCAAGAGAGTGGAAATACATATTTCAGCAAAGTGATCACTTGCATGAATTCATACAGGATTTCAGTAATAAGGATAACAAGGATAACTTATCAAGGCAGAAAATCCCACATTATCTGAGTGGGGACTCAGATAACCCAGTTCAAAGCAGATATTGTGGGATTTTTCTGCCTTGATATTCTGGGATATAGGGCTGTGCGGAAGAGTCCTCAGAAGGTATTGAACTGGTCACACTTTAGGCCTAACTTTATTTTTAAAATTAGACTTAAATGCAATCTCATAAAGCATTCACAGAGTAACTATATGTGTATTTATATGCAAGAACACCCACTGAGTTAGGCTACATCTACACTAACATGGAATGTAGGTTCAAACTGCATTCGATGGTAGTGCAGATGGGGCTGTAGTCTCACCTTAGGGCTGCAGTCCTGTATATAATTACCTGGAAGTAAATCCTGCTGAACAAAGTGAAGCTTACTTCTGAGTAGGAATGCTGAGATTACACCATGACAGAAAGACTGAACAAAATAAAGAATAAAATAAAGAGGAGGAGGGAGAGGGAGGGAGGATGGGACACTAAAAGATAACCACTTTTTTGGATTGCCATAGCTACTGGAAAGTGGGGAATGAAAGCTGGAAAAGGAGAGATGTGTGCCCCACACTGAAGGAGGCTTAATCATGTGTGTTTCCTTGATGCTTTTTCACTGAGAGTGGAAAATTTCCTAATGAGTATTTCATTTACATTTGCACCTCATGGCTTCTGCGTTTCCTTCGACTGCCAAATCTGGCTGAGCTACTAAAGGTCTGGAGCACACGTCTCTCCCATACTCATCCTGGAAAAGCTTGTGATTGTTTTCTTGACGGCCTTTCAGGATCCAGCTTCTGCTGGCACCTTATTTGTGAGAGCATAGGGCTGTTTGGTTTTCCCATCAGGCAGGCAAACTTCTAGGCCCAGACTTCGGTCCTTGGCAGCCCATGCTTGGGCAGGAAAGCTTTACACTGCTTTTGTTATGCTGATGCACATTTCTGAACTCTTTGTCAATTGATGGGTTACTGATGTAATGGAGACATAACTGTGTATGCAAGCAGACTCGGAAATTGCTACCTCTGTACCTTATGGGGTCTTGGTAATTTGTAAGGACCTGTCAGGAAAGGAGGTCACTGGCACACTGGTGAGCGAGGAGGGCGGTTGGAACATCCATTTCCTGATACTCCCATAGAAGCTTTGACTCATATTTTTGTGTTAAGAAGAGGAGGGAACAAGAAGGGAATGGTTGCCCACTTCCTTGGCCATGAAATGAGTGTTGGGAGCTCGTACAAAGCAGCCGGAAAGCTCTCTGTAAACATATCTTCCCAACTCAATGGCACCTCCAACTTTTATTACAAAATATAAAGGAGCTGCCTGAGGTGCTAAAATATTTTGGGGACTAGAATATAACCCTTGAAAAAACTCCTTCAAAATTGAGACTAAACACCAGAAAGAATTCATGGATTTCCTACACTACTGTCCTGAAAGCCGACAATTCCTATTGCTCTACTCCACTCCTCAAAGATGATGCAAATATTTTTTTCTGGCTTCAGATCCCACACTCAGTTCTTAAGAAGCCCATTTTTACAATGCCATTGAAGCATTACTTTCAACTACTAAGCTCCTCTCTTTCTGTCAGTGTCTGAAGAGAATTCTTTCTCCAAATGGAAGCTTAGTATATCATGAAGTCAAAGAAGTTCTGAAATTCTACTTGTTCATGAACTTTCAATTTATCATCATTGCTGTGCTGTTACTTTGGGTGCCATGTTATTAATATATATATATAGTTATATTTTCATGATAAAGTGTTTGATGTGATGCAAACCATAAAATACTTAATTATGTGACATATCATATCCACAGATAAAATGTACTCTGAATACCAGATCTTGGGGACTCATCACAAAGTTGTAATAAAATTTTGGGTTTATGCAGATTTGCATTCAGTCTGGATTTTTGTTGAGTATTATTTAGTGGTGGTTGTTTAGAAAACATTTCCTGACCAGTGATCCTCTTGCTTCACTGAACACTGCTGAGGCTGCTATCATTATGCTTTTCAGTTATGTTATTGTTAGACCAGGTGAATGTTAGCTTTATGACTGCCCACTGATGTGCTTGACTGCTCTTAGTGTTATATCAGGGAGTATTTTTCTCCAGAGAATATACTTTCATGCATTTTAAAACTGACCCAATCTGAATTCAACTTCCAGCTCTTACAGAACCCTAAACATGTAATTTTAGGACAAACTTATAACTATAATTAGGAGTCAGTGTGGTTTAGTAATTTCAATGTTGGATTAGATTGCTGGGAAACTAGGATTTGAATCTTTGTTTGGCCATGGAAATCTACTGGGTGACCTTTGGCAAGTCACACTTTAGCCTCCCAGCTTCATAGGAAGGCAACAGCAAACCTCCTTAGAATAAATCTTGCCAAGAAAAACCTACAATGGGATCATCATAAGCTAAAATCAATTAGAAGATAGATAACCATTGATATAAATAAGAGATCCCCCAACTGCAAGCCACAGGCTGAATGTGGCTCTCCAAGGTCATTTACCCAGCTCCTATCCTATACTTTACTTAATTTTGCCCTAAGTCTGAAACGAATTGAAGGCACACAACAACAAGAATTCTAATTAATATGACTCTGTCATCAGCCAAAATCAGACACACACTTCCCATTGAAATACTGATAAATTCATGTTGGTTAACATTGTTCTTCATGGTAGTCCAACTGCAGATAACCAATGGAAACATGACAGAAAATGTCTAGTAAGGAGCATTTGTTTTTTTTAAACAGTACTTCTTGGAAGATTTATAGAGTTACTCGCAGATGTGATGCTTTTTTGTTCTGCTACTCCCTGCATGTGGAAGGGTACAAAAAAGGGACCAATGATCTGCCCAGGAACTGAGGTAATTGCATACACTCCAGCAGCCCTAGACTTAGAAACTATCTATCTTTTACACAGTAAGATAAATAATGATGGCAATGAGGAATTGGACAATTTTAAGTGAAAAATACAGTATTGAACAGTTACGATCTTCTTAACCCCAACATTGATCTTCTACTTCAGATGGCAAACTCAATAGTGATACACATTTGTCTTCTTGAAAAATCTGATGAGTTATACCTGCTAGGTTCAGCTAGCTCCAAAAGAAAATGGTTGGACTTCTCATAGGAAAATTCAGGCTTTCTTGATGTCCAGGTTAGAACTGCCTGGACTTCAAAAAACGTACTCCTCTACTCATATACAATTCTGTATTAGAATAATGATCACTGTGATCAACTGATTCTACTTTCATTATGGTAGGAGAACCATTGTGAATTAAGCGAATATCTTGAAATGTTTATTCTAAGTCCTCCCACGTATAAAGGTGTTTGCTTTTGACAGAAACTTCAGTGCCAACAAGAAAACTGAGGCAAACAGAGTCAATCTGGAATATCAGCATGCAAAGGGTTTTATGGCATCCTAAAGACAAACTGAGAGAACATAGTAGGTAGCATAACCTTTCACAGACTTTAGAGTGTATTTATACTTAGGAATGAATGCAGTTTGACACCACTTTAACTGACATGGCTCAATGCAACAGAACCATGGAATTTGAAGTTTTACAAGGTCTTAACCCTTCTCTACCAAAGCGTGCTGGTGCCTCACATACAACAAATGTCAGGATTCTATAGTATTTAGCCTCAATTAAATTGGCGGCATTAATTCTATTGATTCTAAAATTCTAATTAATAATTCTATTAATTCTAAAACTGCAGTTAATTCTATAGTTCAGATGCACCTTGAGTTTACTTTTTCAGATCTCTCAGTGAATTTCTAAGATGCTACAAGATCGTTTGTAGATCTGGTCCAGTATCTGACAGGTTTCTCTCATATTCATGGAGAACTGATCATTTCAGTGGTTGTTAACAGTGGGGAGACATAAAACCACAGGCACTTGCTGTGTTGTAGAGACAGACCTTTACAAAATTCAGTAGAGAAAAACATGCTATCCAATAGTTATATTTTTTTAGTTTTATACCAAGCATGCATCAGCTATTCCTGCCTGAATTCCTAGCAGACAAACAAATGGTTCCCCAAACAATTTCCCATAGTAATGACTGGAACCAAGCTAGAACACAGTCTCTATTGGATGGATATCTTTGATGTGTCTGTACTGTGTATAACCTGAGTGATTGTGGGACCTATAGTTGTCATGTTTTTTCTCCCGTTCGGTTGCTTTATTCTCAACCAGAGCTTGCCTGTAGTTACGTAGTTGCAGAAGATGCCCAAGACACAAGAAGCCTCTGGTTATTGAGGATAATGTTCTTCAGCCAGTCATCAACTTCATAGACCTTTGCCATGCAGGGGCAAGATGGTGAAATGTAGCAATAAAGATCATGGAGCCATTCCTCATTTGCTCCACTCGATTTAGAGTTTGGAAGGGAATAGTCTCATTCCAGGCAGCATTGCTATTGCTGAGAGTGACTAAGCAGGGTGGCTGTGTTTCTAGGATCAGCTTGCAGAAACAAGACCCAGCTATGACAGTGAACCACAGCATTCACTCTCTTTCTACGCAGAGAACAAGTTGGTTACACTTGTTATGTAACTAGTTCTGAAGCAAGCATCCTCTGGAGCAGGAATCCTAATTGTTTTAATTTAACATCCTTTGCTTGGCACATTTTTAACAAGTGACATGGTAATGTGTGTATGTGTGTGGGGGAGTTTTAATTGTTTTAAAAATTTGGCATGCTGCATGGTGAATTTGAATGATCTCATTCAAAGTGGTACATGTTAAAACACGTCCCCAGAGAGGCAGAGGTAATGCTGAAGTTCAGAGTAAGTACTTTGATTTATTAAAGCTCAATCAAGAAAAGTTTCTTAGATACAGCCCAATATTTCTGTAGAAAAAAGTCCCACTGAGCTTAATGGGATTTATTCTTACAGAGCCAGGCTCAGGGTTGCAACACAGAAATTGCCTTAATAACATCCTGCACATAATTAAATTGCCTTAATATCATTAAATAAAATGGGATTAAAGAGTTGTGCTGTGCTGTAGCTTTCTATAATAGGTTATTTGGTTACTTTGCTGCCGTGTAAAAAAAAATCAGCTTATGGAATTGTGCCCAACATACAGATATTGACTGATGGTTGTATGTGCATTCTAATGTTATGCATATGTGCAGGAATTAATTCACAATTTCCCCATTAAGCCAATTCAAAGTGCATTACATTTACATGAGAGTAAATAGAACATATTTCTGAACAAGCAAGCATAGCATTGCATTATTATTTTTATAAAACAGGACATTTTCAGAATAATTACTGAATGCGTTAGCAAACTGTAAAATATTTTTTTTCAAAAAATGCACAGGAAAAAGCCTGAATCCAAATACAATACCCATATAAAAAGTTGGACTTACATGATCATTCTTTCCTTGCAATATGGATACTTTGGCCTCTCTTCAAGTTTCTGTATATCAGAGAATCTGATCTTGGGGCCCTTTCGTAAGCATTTGCATTTTGATCCTACAAGAAAAAGTTTTTACGTATTTATATATGGAAAGCATTGCATTATACAAACTCTTAATGTAGCTCCCACCTCAACTCTTTTAAATATATTTATGAACTATGGTATTTTTAACATGTGTAGAAAAAGTTGTTCTATCTAAGCAAGATGTTACTGCCTCAACCTTACAGACACCTTAAATCCAACTGAAGTCCGTGGAGTATGCACCTTTTTCATGTGTGTCTGCTCAGACGTAAGACCCACTGGATTTATTAAGACCAACATTGAATTAATTATGCCCAGAGTTGCAGCTTTTGCACTTGAAGTCATGTGGCAATCCTTCCTATTAAAACTACACCTGCTGTGATCAAACTTAAATTACTAGTGTAAATTAAGAAAAATAAAACCATGTTAAAGCCATATATAATTAGATTAATTAAAGATGCTTTTAGTTGTTTTTTTCACTTCTTTACTTTTGTCACTTTTTAAAAGAAGCATAAAGAGTTCCTTGGCCTTATTCCAATTACGAGTGGTAACAAACAAAAGCCTCCCGAACCTTTATCAAAAACTTAACCTGTGATAAACTCAAAACCCCCGCTGAAATCATGGAACTGAAACTTGGGAGGGCTGCTGAATCGAGTTGCTGTAGGACTAGTTTAAATCCATTCACTTTGGAAATTCTGAATTTCTGTTTTAGGATTAATAGTTATCCAAAGTAGTTCAGACGAAATGCAGGGAACTCTATCTCACAAGCTCCCTTAAACTCCGAAATTAAAATACTAAGTGGGATGGGAAAAAGAAGTTGGCCCTTTTCCCCTTGCACTTTTCATTTTATAAGTCTGTTTAAAATGCTTAGAGGCATCTCTCAGGGACAGAAATACATTTCAATCAACTACTTGAATAAGCAATAAAGATGAAAAGAGACAGAGAAGAATAAAATCAGTGTCCGCCAGGAACCTGTAACTCACCTTCTACGCTGTTAAAGCAGATTACAATGAACAGCAAGAGGAAAACTATTGTCAAGAGCTTCATGATGCGAAGATCTCAGGGAACCTATAGGTATGTTCACTCAGCTCTCCCTTGAATGAGATGCTTTCTCTTCTTTCTCTTTTTCAAAAAGTCTGAGGCAGTGGTCAGAGTGAGGCTTGGTGTTGCCAGCCAGGCTATGAATGTGGAAGTCACTGCCTCTAATCTGCTCTCCCAGTTGCTGTGCTCTGGCAGCCTGTCAGTTTCAGCTGCTCTTTGCCTGAGCACGGACGCTTTCCTCCTCTTTTAAAACAGCTCCTTCTGCCCTTTCCTAAAGCTCATTAATATGCAGAGAGACTCAATTACTTTCAGCAATTTTGCAATCCCCCCAAAAGGGGAGGGACTTACAGGGAGCGGAAAATAGCCGATTCTGCTGAAGACTGCTGAGCATTTTGAGGGATAATGACACACATTATAGAGGAGGAGAGGGTGAGGCAGAGTGAGTGGATGAGTGGGTAAGAGTTATCTCTAACCTGCCCATCTCCCTATCTCCTGCTATGACTGCATCTTTGAAAAAGCAGGGTCAAGACTTCACAAGGTGTTGTTAAGAACAATATGCTTGTTTATGTGTGTGTGTGTGTGCCTTCAAGTTGCTTGTTGACTTATGGTGAGCCCACAAATTTCATTGGGTTTTCCTTGGCAAGGAATACTCAGAGGTGGTTTTGTTAGACCTTTCTATGAAATATAGTCTACAGCACTTGGTATATGTTTGCCATCTCTCATCCAAGAACCAACTAGTGCTGCCCCTGTTTAGCTTCTAAAATCTGACAGTATCTAGTTCCTGTAGGGGTGAGCATACATAATGTTTGTGTTTAGACAAACTCCACTTGCTTAAGGTAGAAAAGCAACAAAGGTCCTCTGAGAACTTTCAGGTAGAGTCACTAGCACATTTCATTATGTTTTGGTCACCCAGGATGCTGGACCATTCTTCAATATACCGTGGGCCTTTGGTATCTGCTGGGGGTTAGTTCCAGGACTCACAGTTGATACCATAATCTGTGGATGTTGAAGACCTATGGAATACAATGATGTAGTTAAATGATGCCTTTTGTATAAAATGGTAAAATCAAATCTATCCATGGATAATGGAAGTGGAGATGGAGAGCTGATTGTATTCCCCGTAAGATAAATCCCCTCAGGGAGATAGGGCAGGTTATAAATAAAGCATTATTATTATTATTATTATTATTATTATTATTATTATTTCCCCATAAGATAAGACTTTGCTTTATTTTAAGTGTTTCAGCCCCTTAGATATCATGGAAATGCAGGCTTTAGTTTGAATATTTTGATATGATGATCAAGCCAATTGCTATGGAGAAAATTGCTGCAAGGAATCTGGAAGATTGGAGGTATGTTTACAGAGACATGACTGTTTATTTTTAAATTGACCATAAATATGTTATAACCATTTATGCATGGCACTTTCATGTCTCAGGGGTCTGGCTTTGACACATGATATGGGATTATTTGTTGATTATTTGCTTCTTTCTCCTAAATGTTATCACAGTCAATGAGAGAAACATGTGTAGTTTTATAAAAAAGGAATAATTATTAGATAGAGTTTATGATATTCATCTTACTCCCTGGTATCTGCAGATAGGTCTAAAGAAAGTGCTCTTTCTGAAATCTTGAATCATTAATTAATTTGAACAAGAGTGAGCTAGATGGACCTTGGTATAATACACCGTGCTATTTTCACATAAAACAAACTTAGTTCAGATAGTCAGTATCATGGTATATTATCAGTTCAAATATATAGTCAGTGTCATACCAGAAAACCTTGCATGGCTGTGGTGTGGCTACTCTGTTATTGAGCCATCGGTTTGTGAACTCTCCCCATATATGTTGCCACAGCACTGCAAATCACATGGGTGGCCAGCTGCATCAATAGCTTGCAACACGAACCAGCAGTGGTGTTTAAAGAAAGCTGCCACACCGCCAACTGCATGAGTAAGCCAAGCTTCAATTAAAAAAAATAGACTCAGATATAATGCTCTGATAATTATTCAGTTCAAGAATGTCTATGAGGGCATTGTTCTTGGGAAGAATATTCTTCTTCTTTAATGACCACTAATGAATGACTCTCTTTGTCCTTGAAAGCTTACAGACCTTGTCAATAACATGTACAGACACATTCATATATCTACACAAAGGACTAGCCATATGTTTTGCCAACTCTATTACTATTTCCTCCTATTTCAAAGGGTCTTATATCTTTAAGGGGGCATAGCCAAGGATGGCATGGTCCAAACCAATCCAATGTCATCCCTTTAACTGAACTACTACAAAATTTGCCCCGATCATGTAGCAGCCACCGCCAATAGCTTGCACCAGCTTCCCAATTTCACAGGCAGCTCAGTCTTGGTGGTATGGTCTTGAAAGTGACGAGCACCAGACTCAGCAGGAGACAGCCAACATCTTACATGTTCAAATGTGCTGTGCAATGTGTTCTCATTAGTCATTGCATTTTGGAGGCTTTAAAATGGTGGCAGCCTGCTATAGAAACTAGTTCTCTGGAATAGAGTGGTGGTTTGGGTCCAAAGCAGGATGGAGTTGGTGGCAGTAAGGGCATAGACAGGCATGACTGTGCATTTTCCTCACCAACCCTAATCTACCTCATAGAACAAGATTTCTTTGCACAACTGGCTCTGCAATCAATTTGTCCCATTTTTCCCATCTATTGTCCATATTTCAGTCCATGTAGCTTCCAACCAACATAACGTGTAGCTTTTTTCAGCTCATGGAAATTGTCAATCATGATCTCCATCAGTGATTGCAGTTGGAGATCACCGGGAACAGACATCGTCACCAGTCTACATTGGCCAGTTAATAGTTTAGTAGCAGGGCCAAACCAGAAGAGTGACCCTCATTGTAAATTTATTCTGGCAATATGGATCTTTTCCTTGTGTTGAGATTGCATTTGATATTGCTTCCAAAGTCTGGGTGTTGGCAGGTTAAGGAGTACATGCATACCACACGCACAAATAATATGCTGAACAATGCATCCATATTTTTCCCCATACTGCATGTTATACACCGTTCATGTGAGACGTGCTGCTGACATGCTTGGAACATCTTGAATATCCTTAAGGCTTTACTAATGCAAATCTCTGTGTTTGTTTCCTTCCCAAGACGTGCTTCTTTTGTACCATGAAGTTCTTGTATGTGTGGATATGCATGTATGTCTGTGTGCCTCTGTGTGTGTGCACGTTCTTGCCACACAGAGAAACAAGCACTTGCAAGTCAAAGGATGTGGCTGTAAACACGCAAAATGAAAAACATCCGATGGGGATGGCTTGCTGAAACTCACCTAGTTAATAGCTTTTTATTACATCTTTTCATGATTACTTTTTTTTTTAAAAAAAAAAGGAAAGGAAAAAGAAATAGAAGGGGAAAATGAAAAGCTTTCGGTTCAGCAACTACTGAAAAGAAAAATTAAGAACAAATCCATGATAAAATTCTGAAATGTTAAACCAGTCTTTGAGTTAGAAGACTTTAGAGTTCAAGATGTATGGAGACTAATTTGCTTATATTTATTTCTTTTATTCATCTGGTTTGTTTGTTTGTTTGTTTGTTTATTTATTTATTTAATCGTGTCAGGAGCAACCAGACATTTGTAATACATTTTTAGCAAAACAAACAGACAGACAAAACACAAAGTTTGCAAGCTTGGTAGTTGATTAAAGGATTAAATGTCCTTTGACCAGTAGCTGGCCACTTGGAATGCCTCTGGTGTTGCCGCAAAAAGGTCCTCCATTTTGCATGTAGCAGGGCTCAGGTTGCATTGCAGCAGGTGGTCAGTGGTTTGCTCTTCTCCACACTCGCATGTCGATGGATTCCACTTTGTAGCCCCATTTCTTAAGATTGGCTCTGCATCTCGTGGTGCCAGAGCGCAGTCTGTTCAGCGCCTTCCAAGTCGCCCAGTTTCTGTCTGCCCGGGGGGAGTCTCTCATTTGGTATCAGCCATTGATTGAGGTTTTGGGTTTGAGCCTGCCACTTTTGGACTCTCGCTTGCTGAGGTGTTCCAACGAGTGTCTCTGTAGATCTTAGAAAACTATTTCTTGATTTAAGTCGTTGATGTGTTGGCTGATACCCAAACAAGGGATGAGCTGGAGATGTCACTGTCTTGGTCCTTTCACTATTGACTGCTACTTCCCGGTGGATGTCAGGTGGTGCAATACCAGCTAGACAGTGTAATTTCTCCAGTGGTGTAGGGCGCAGACACCCCGTGATAATGCGGCATGTCTCATTAAGAGCCACATCCACTGTTTTAGTGTGGTGAGATGTGTTCCACACTGGGCATGCATACTCAGCAGCAGAGTAGCATAGCGCAAGGGCAGATGTCTTCACTGTGTCTGGTTGTGATCCCCAGGTTGTGCCAGTCAGCTTTCGTATGATATTGTTTCTAGTACCCACCTTTTGCTTGATATTCAGGCAGTGCTTCTTGTAGGTCAGAGCATGGTTCAGAGTGACTCCCAGGTATTTGGGTGCGCTGCAATGCTCCAGTGGGATTCCTTCCCAGGTAATCCTCAGAGCTCGGGATGTTTGTCTGTTCTTAAGGTGAAAAGCACATGTCTGTGTTTTAGATGGATTAGGGATCAGCTGGTTTTCCCTGTAATAGGCAGTAAGAGCACCTAGAGCTTCGGATAGCTTCTGTTCAACCATCTCAAAGCTCCCTGCTTGAGCAGTAATGGCAAGATCATCAGCATAGATGAAATTCTCTGTCCTTTCTGGCAGTGGCTGATCATTTGTGTAAATGTTGAACATGGATGGAGCAAGCACGCTCCCCTGAGGCAGGCCATTCTTCTGTTTCTGCCATCTGCTTCTCTGGCCCAGGAACTCAACAACAATAAAGCTCCTGTTTTGTAGCAGGTTTCCTATGAGGTGGGTGAGATGGTAGTCCTTTGTGATATTATACATTTTTCTCAGGAGGAGGCGGTGGTTTACAGTATCATAAGCCGCTGACAGGTCTATGAAGACAGCTCCTGTGATCTGCTGCCTTTCAAAGCCATCTTCTATGTGCTGAGTCAGGTTCAGCACTTGCGATGTGCAGCTTTTGCCTTTCCTGAAGCCAGCTTGCTGTGGAATCAGACATGGGTCTATTTTTTCCATAATTCTATGCAAAATAAGTCTCTCCAGAACTTTGTAAAGGTGGCACAACAGGGAGATTGGTCTATAACTTTTTGGATCATTCCGGTATTTGCCTGGCTTCAAGATGGCTATGACTATTGCTTTCCTCCAGATTTTGGGGATCTGACAGGATGCAGTGCAGTTGTTCATCAGTTCCAGCAGCCAGTGCCTTGCTTTTGGGCCAGAGTTCTTGATTAGTTCCATCCGTAGATCATCCAGGCCAGCTGCTTTGCCATTTTTACATTTATTGAGAGCCATGTGCAATTCAGTAGATGTAAAGGGTTCATGAAGGTTGTTGTTCTCAATCTCTGGTTGTCTGGCTATTGGTTTCTTTCCTACTTTGGTGGCAAGGTTGGGTTTCCCATTCTTCTGGTATATTAAGAGTGGAATTGTGTTACTATAAAAATTGTGGCATTTACCATAAGTCATGAAGCCTATCTAGCTGAAGGGATAGTGTAGGGCTGTTCTGCCCCACTTTGTAACCATCTTCATGCCGTTGACTTGTTGGTTGATGTCTCCACCAAATAATTTTGCAGATAGAATCCAAAAAGTAAAAATGTCCAAACTCACTTCTATGGAGGGAAATCTTGTCAAACATTCACAGGTTCTTTCTTTAAAATGCTCATTGTAATGTCATAGTGGACCAGGTTAGTTGTGGCTTCAGAGTCCATAAAACTTAAGGAAAGATAATAATAATAATAATAATAATAATAATAATAATAATAATAATAATACAGATACATCACACAGTCCTAGACACTTGGGAAGTGTCGGACATGTGATCCAACAGCCAGCAAAGTGATCTTGTCTGCTCTGGGCTCATCTTGTTATGTTTCTAATAATAATAATAATAATAATAATAATAATAATAATAATAATAATATCCCTCCACCATCTCCCAAAGGGTGGCTTACAAAATAGCACATAATAATGCTATAAAACACATAAAATACAAGTAAAATATAATAACATTAGTAGCAACACAATATCAAAGCATAAATAACATATACAAAAAGGAAAACCCAATTCAATTTAGATAAAATACTCAGTAAATACTGGTGGCAACAAGGGAGAGAGCAATAGTAATTAAAATGGACAAAACTAAATTCCAAGTGATATAAAGTGCCAGAGTCAATTTGTTTGGTCAGCGGGTGTCTTAGGCATTATCGAAAGCGTGCTTAAAAGCCATGTTTTCAGCTCCATCTGAAAACATTGCATA